TCCAATCTCTGTTCTCGACACAAGGCCAGCATGGCCTTGTTGTCTACGTATAGGACTGGAGGAGAACAAGGCGACTCTCCAAGGTCGGTCAGCAGGTAGGTGAGCCAGCGAAGCTCCTCTGCAGCCATGGCCCCGGCGTAGATCTCAGCCTCACAACTGGAGCCGAGAACAGAAGACGAGCGGGTAGCCCGCCACGAAACAGAGCCGGAACCAAGGCTGAAGGTGTAACCCTGTGACGACCGCTGCGTAGCCTGGTCGTCAGCCCAAGAAGCGTCCGTGTGACCAGTGAGGACTACTGGACTCCGCCCTCCAAGCACTAGCCCCATGCCCGACGTACTGCACAAGTAGCGCAACACCCTCTTCGCTGCAGCCATGTGCTCTGGTCGGTGTCTCCTAGGAGCAACATACCGTCAGAGAATGCTAAGAGGGTATGCAAGGTCAGGTCGTGTGCAGGTCATCAGGTACATGAGGCAGCCAACAAGTTCTGGATACGGGCCACTCGACTCTACGGACTCATCCGAAGGCAGAGCTGAGAGCGAGTGGCGAGTAGGCAGAGGAGTGGCCTGAGGCGAGGAGTACGTGAAGCCGAAGCGCTGAAGGACCTGCTGCACCATGTGTGACTGAGTCAGGGTAATGGTGCGGCGTGCTCTGTCCCGGGTGATCTGCAAGCCAAGGTAGCTGCGCAGTTCACCCAGGTCTGTGCACGTGTGTCTCTTCTGCAGCTCGGACTTCACGTAGGCGAGTCCAGCAGTGTCAACTCTGGCAAAGACCAAGTCGTCGACGTACACGAGGATGTAGAACAACGCAGAGAAGTGTCGGTGCGCAGAAACAGCGACGGGTCGGCAGTAGAAGGAGCAAACCCAAGAGCCGCAAGCGTAGTCCTCAGTGTGTCGTGCCACTCACGTGGCGCCTGGCGGAGACCGTAAACTGGACGGCGGTGACTCCACTGGGTACCAGGAGGGAAAGACCCAGTGAAGCCAGGTGGGCGGCGCAGCCAGATCTCCTCGTGCAGGCTGCCCTGCAAGAAAGCAGTGCTGAAGTCGAGAGAGTGCAGCTCGTAGTCACGGTGAGCAGCAACGTGCAGCAGTACCCGAAGAGTGGTCATCTTTGGGGTTGGAGAAAAGGTCTGAAAGTAGTCAACTCCCTGCCGCTGACTGAAGCCACGAGCCACGTAACGCGCCTTGAAGACAGGCGGAGAACCCGGCGGCCGCTTCACCCTGAGGATCCACATGCCACTGACGATGTTCGCCCCAGGAGGGGGGACAGCGTCAACATAGGTGCCTGTGGACTTCCAGGAAGCCATCTCTGCATCCATAGCTGCCTGCCACTGAGAAGAGTAGGGACCCTCTATCGCCTCCGCGTAAGAGCGCGGAGTCGGGATGTCAAGTGCATCCGGGTCTCCCTCAGGGGTAAGCAGTACGGACACGAGATGAGGTGAAGCAGCGGCCAAGCACTGGAACTCCTCCTGCCTGTCCTCAAGGACGTCCGTGCCAAGGGCACACTCAACCCCGACGGACGGAGGACAGACAGACTCAGACTCAGCGACATGTCAGACTGAGAAACAGGAATGGGAGTGACTAGCAGGAACAATAGTACAAATATGAAACCCTAATCTGGTGTACCCCCTATGGTGTGACCCACTACAGCCTAGAACCACACAAACATATAATGTTTGACACACCCCCATAGGCAAAGTGGGGAGACCTAGGGGTCACAAGACCAGTCAAGGCAAAGCAAGGCAAACAAGCTCAGGGTGGATCTCGAGGATTCCACACAAATTCCGAGCACAAGCAAGTGGTCACAAGACCAGTTCACATGCAGTTTTATAATAGAGCAAGAGGTACAATGATCACAACCTAGCAAGGGCAAACATGTAGGTATATATATATAATGATCACAGTACAGCCAAAGTCAAGAAGTAAGCAAGTGAGGAACAGTCGGCACAAGGCCTAGAAGAGTGCAAAAACGCTGATGGTCAACAGGCGGAAGCGCCTTGGTGAACACATCAGCAGTGTTGGCCTCAGTGGCCACGTAACGCAGAAGAAGCTGACCACGCTGCTGTAGCTCTCGAGCTAGGAAGTAACGCAGAGCAATGTGCTTCGTCCTGTGCTCCAGTGTGTGCTCCTGACACAAGGCTATGGTTGCCTTGTTGTCGACGTACAGCACTGGAGGAGAACGAGGCTGCTCTCCAAGGTCAGTCAGCACGTAGGTGAGCCAGCGAAGCTCCTGGGCAGCCATGGCCGTGGCGTAGATCTCAGCCTCACAGCTGGAGTTGAGAACAGAAGAAGAACGGGTAGAACGCCAAGAGACAGAGCCAGAGCCAAGACTGAAGGTGTAACCCTGAGACGACCGCTGAGTAGCCTGGTCGTCTGCCCAAGAAGCGTCTGAGTGCCCAGTGAGAACAGGCCGGTCTTGCCCTCCAAGCACTAGCCCCATGCCTGACATACTGCACAAGTAGCGCAACACCCTCTTAGCTGCATCCATGTGCTCCTTCCGGTGACGGCCGGGAGCGACATAGCGTGCTAAGATGCTGAGAGGGTATGCAAGGTCAGGTCGGGTGCAGGTCATCAGGTACATGAGGCAGCCCACAAGCTCTGGATACGGACCACTCGGCTCTACGGACTCATCCGAAGGCAGAGCTGAGAGCGAGTGTCCCGTAGGCAGAGGAGTGGACTGAGGCGAGGAGTACGTGAAGCCGAAGCGCTGAAGGACCTGCTGCACCATGTGTGACTGAGTCAAGGTGATGGTGCGCCGTGCTCTGTCCCGGGTGATCCGCAAGCCAAGATAGCTTGTCAGTTCACCCAGGTCTGTGCACGTGTGTCTCTTCTGCAGCTCGGACTTCACGTGAGCGAGACCAGCTGTGTCAGAAGTGGCAAAAACCAAGTCGTCGACGTACACGAGGATGTAGAACGGCGGCAGTGAGGGGACGGTGCGTAGAAACAGCGACGGGTCAGCAGTAGAAGGAGCGAACAGAGGGGAGCAGGGGGGAGGGGGAACACCCCTCGAAGAAAGGGGTGCGGGGGTCGCCACGAGAGGTTCCTACAGCTACAATACTCTTCTCAGCATCCGGGTCTCCCTCAGGGGTAAGCAGTACGGACACGAGATGAGGTGAAGCAGCAGCCAAGCACTGGAACTCCTCCTGCCTGTCCTCAAGGACGTCCGTGCCAAGGGCACACTCAACCCCTACGGACGGAGGACAGACAGACTCAGACTCAGCGACATGTCAGACTGAGAAACAGGAATGGGAGTGACTAGCAGGAACAACAGTACAAATATGAAACCCTAATCTGGTGTACCCCCTATGGTGTGACCCACTACAGCCTAGAACCACACAAACATATAATGTTTGACACGACAAGACTAGCAGCGTAGTCTAGGCGACAGCGAGCAGCAAAGTCGATGAGCTAAGCAACTAGGGCAGACGCAGCAGTGGACTCGAAAGAAGGGTCAGTGACAACAGTAGCTAGGAGACGCGTGATAGTAGGACTAGCAGCACGAAGAGAGTCCGACTCCGGGTCGGCAAAAGCAGGAAGAGAGGACTCAGGAGGAGAAGGCAAAGGGGCACGCAGAGGAGCAGTGGACGGACGCAGAGACATCCGGTGCGTGCCAGGGACAGGAGGAGGACGCTGACGCGAACCACGACCACTAACGCGAGCAGCACGGACAGGCGACGCAGGACGAGATGCAGGCTCACGACGATCAGTAAGACCTCCAGTAGGACCAGTGTAGGGAGAAGGAGCAGGCAAAGGGGAGGTAGGCTGCAACTGTAACTGTGACAGGACTGGGTGTGGACACCCTAAAGAAGGAGGAGGACCAGTAGAAGGCGGAAGAGCAAGAACCTACTGCAGGAGTGGAACAAAGTACGGTCGAGGCCACGCGGCGACGCAAGACACAGCAGGTATAGCACCAGTACCCCCAGCAGGAGCACCCGCTGCAGCTGCACCTCCAGCAGCGCCAGAACCTCCAGCATAACCAAGGGTACCCGCAGCAGGACCACCAGCAGTAGTCGCAGCGCCAACACCCTCAGCAGCACCAGCTCCAGTCGAACCCGCAGGCCCAGCAGCTCCAGTACTCCCAGTACGAGCACCTCCGGGACCCGCGACAGCAGCACCCTCAGTAGCCGAAGAACCTCCAGCACAAGCAGCACGCCTCCAGCGCCGAGCAAACCACTCGCGCAGCTCCCATGGAGAGATTGGCTCCCGCAGAGACGAAGCACCCGGAGAACCTCCAGGCGGAGCACCTCCAAGCTCAGTACCCCCAGGCTCAGCACACCCAGGCTCAGCAACCCCAGGCTCAGTACCCCCACGCTCAGCACACCCAGGCTCAGCACCCCCAGGCTCATCACCCCCAGGCCCAGCACCCCCAAGCGCAGCACCCCCAGACTCAGCACCCCCAGGCTCAGCACCCCCAGGCTCAGCACCCCCAGGCTCAGCACCCCCAGGCTCAGCACCCCCAGTCGCAGCACCCCCAGGGTCAGCACCCCCAGAGTCAGCACCCCCAGGCTCAGCACCCTCAGCAGCACCAGAGTCACCAGTGACCTCGACAGGCTCGACTGCGTCTACCTGGGACACACCTAAAGGGGACGGACCCTGAGGGGGGAGGGGGTCTACCGAAGAGGGACCTTGTACAAGGAAGAGCGGCTGCGGGGGGAGGGACGGAGTGCGGTAGGGGAAGAGGCGGTAGTAGGGGACCGACTCGTCAAACATGACGTCCTGGGAGGACAGAACACGGCGAGAGGTGGGGTGGTAGAAGTGCCACCCATGCGCGTCAGGGGGGAACCACAGGAAGACGCAAGGAGCAGCACGAGGGGACAGCTTGTCCGCAGACAAGTCGCGGACAAACGCCCGAGATCCCCAGACCCGGAACACCGACGCATCGCCAACCTTCCCCGTCCATAGCAAGGCTGGGGAGGTCTCCGGCCTGGAGACCCTGGGGTGTAGGTTGATCTGATGCGCCGCGTACCTCACCGCAAACGGCCACAGAAAATGGGGAGCAGCCGCATGCATCATAGACGTACGAGCGACGTCCATGACCATGCCAATGCGGCGCTCAGCAATCCCATTTTGCTGCGGTGAGTCCGGAAGCGTGAAGGTCTGACGGATTCCTCGTGCGCGACAGTAGGCTCTCAGAAGGCCAGAAGAAAACTCTCCGCCTCTGTCCGAGTGTAGACGCAGAACAGGAAAGTCCGAGCCAAAGCTCTGCCTGAGCTGGAGACAAGCTGCGCGGATCCAGTCGATCAGCACCTCAGTGACATCACCCTTGCTGCGCAAGGGGAAGACTGCGGTGTAACGCGAGTAGTCGTCAACAACGAGCAGGAAGTAGCGCTCGTGACCCTGTCCACGGACACGGGCCGGGCCCCACACGTCCATATGAAGCGTCTGCAACGGGGCCTCTGTCGGAGGAAACTGGAAGGAGTGAGGGGCAGCCCGCTGGCGCCCCTCGACACAGGGGACACAGGTAGGGCCACGGCCCTGAGGAAGGGGAGGTAGGGACCGAGGGAGACCAGAAACAAGAAGACTGGAGGCCATGCCTCTGAGCCGAAGCAGAGAGGGGTGACCAAGGCGGTGGTGCCAGAGGAGAGTCTCGTGAGACAGGAGACGACACGAACAGGGGGCAGACTCAGGACCAGACCTGGACGCTGCAGCAAACGCCTGACCCGACGCAGCGACCCTACCAAACTCAACAACCGGAGGAGACGCAGTGGTCAGTGTGTGCAGGCTCGACCCCGGGTGACGGGTAAACGTAGCCAGGTGTCGGCCTGTGCTAGCCTCTGTGCAGTGCGTCACCCGCTGACGCGCAGGAGTGAACTGGTGTACTCCCCCATCCTGTAGGTCAGCACCACTAACCAGGTTCGTAGAGAACGAGGGGAGGTAGAGACCAGATAGGGTGCCAGAGGGAGTTGCCGGACACAGGAGGACTGTGGAGAAGTGAGACAGGACAGGACCCCCAGAGGGGTCAGCGAGAGACACCGCAACCGGCCAACTAAGCGGCGTAAGTGTGGTGCGGTCCCGAAAGAAGGAGCGAGAAGCCCCAGAGTCAAGGGTGAAGGTGAGGGAGGCTGAAGCCGACGGAGTACCTGAGAGCGAAGACTCACCAGTACCTGAGGACGCAGACGCACTAGCACCTAGAGCAGCAGCGTCGCAAGCACCTAGGGCAGCCGCCTCACCAGTACCTAGAGCAGCAGTCTCAATGCCCGGATCCGGTGGGGGTGGGGGTGGAGGTGGAGGTGGAGGTGGGGGTGGGGGGGTCGGTGGCGGCAGTGGAGGCGGAGGCGGCGGCGGCGGTGGCGGTGGTAGCGGAGGTGGAGGCAGTGGGGGGAGTGGGGGTGGCGGTGGAGGTGGAGGTGGGGGTGGGGGGGTCGGTGGCGGCAGTGGAGGCGGAGGCGGCGGCGGCGGTGGCGGTGGTAGCGGAGGTGGCGGAGGAGGCGGCGGTGGAGGAGGCGGTGGAGGCGGCGGCGGCAGTGGAGGCAGCGGAGGCGGTGGAGGCGGTGGGGGTGGCGGTGGAGCTGGTCGCGGGTCTTCGCAGAGGAGTGGCTCAGGTGGTGGCTCGCACCAGCAGCAGCAGCGTGGTCGTGCGACCCTGTCCTCTCAGCAGCTCCGTGAGTGGTACACTGCACGCCAGCGGGGTGGGGGTTTTGGTCCGTGTACCTACGTCCTGCGCACCGGCGACCGTGCGGGTGAGCAGTGTGGGGGTGCGCACCCCACTCCGCGCTGCTTTGGCCGCCTGACGGACGCGTGGCGCCACCACTTCCCGGATGCCTCCGAGATCCCTCGCTGGGACGAGCTGTCTAGGGCGGGGGTTGCCATCTTTGATCTTGAATTTGATGCTATTCTCTTTGCCATGTATGCTGTGTCTATTTGTGACGAGGGTGACTGTTACCGGTGTTTCCAGCCCGATCCGGGCATTGAGACTGCTGTTCTGTGTACTGGTGAGGCTGCTGCCCTAGGTGCTTACGACGCTGCTGCTCTAGGTGCTGGTGTGTCTGCGTCCTCAGGTACTGGTGAGTCTGCGCTCTCAGGTACCGCGTCGGCTTCGGCCTCCCTCACCTTCACTCTTGACTCTAGGGCGTCTCGCTCCTTCTTTCGGGACCGCACCACACTCACGCCGCTTAGTCGGCCAGTTGCGGTGTCTCGGGCTGACCCCTCTGGGGGTCCGGTCCTATCTCGTTTCTCCACAGTCCTCCCGTGTCCGGCGGCTCCCTCTGGCACCTTGTCTGGTCTCTACCTCCCCTCGTTCTCGATGAACCTGGTGAGTGGTGCTGACCTACAGGATGCCGGTGTCCACCAGTTCACTCCTGCACGTCGGCGAGTGACCCACTGTACAGAGGCTGGCACAGGCCGACACCTGGCTACGTTCACCCGTCAGCCGGGGTCGAGCCTGTACACTCTGACCACTGCGTCTCCTCCAGTTGCTGAGTCTAGTAGGGTAGCTACGTTGGGTCAGGTGTTTGCTGCGGCGTCCAGGTCTGGTCCTGAGTCTGCCCCCTGTTCGTGTCGTCTCCTGTCTCACGAGACTCTCCTCTGGCACCACCGCCTTGGCCACCCCTCCCTGTTTCGGCTCAGAGGTATGGCCTCCCGTCTTCTTGTGTCCGGTCTCCCCCGGTCCCTCCCTCCCCTTCCTCAGGGCCCTGGCCCTGCCTGTGTCCCCTGTGTCGAGGGGCGCCAGCGTGCTGCCCCTCACTCCTCCCAGTTTCCTTCGACAGAGGCCCCGTTGCAGACGCTTCACATGGACGTGTGGGGCCCAGCCCGCGTCCGTGGACAGGGTCACGAGCGCTACTTCCTCCTCGTTGTTGACGACTACTCGCGGTACACCACAGTCTTCCCCTTGCGCAGCAAGGGTGATGTCACTGAGGTGCTGATCGACTGGATCCGCGCAGCTCGTCTACAGCTCAGGCAGAGCTTCGGCTCGGACTTTCCTGTTCTGCGTCTGCACTCGGACAGAGGTGGAGAGTTCTCCTCTGGCCTTCTGCGTGCCTACTGTCGTGCACGGGGCATCCGTCAGACCTTCACTCTTCCGGACTCACCGCAGCAAAATGGGATTGCTGAGCGCCGCATTGGCATGGTCATGGACGTCGCTCGTACGTCTATGATGCATGCGGCTGCCCCCCATTTTCTGTGGCCGTTTGCGGTGAGGTACGCGGCGCATCAGATCAACCTCCACCCCAGGGTCTCCAGGCCGGAGACCTCCCCAGCCTTGCTGTGGACAGGGAAGGTTGGCGATGCGTCGGCGTTCCGGGTCTGGGGATCTCGGGCGTTTGTCCGCGACCTGTCTGCGGACAAGCTATCAGCTCGTGCTGCTCCTTGCGTCTTCCTGGGGTTCCCCCCTGACGCACCTGGGTGGCAGTTTTATCACCCCACCTCTCGCCGTGTTCTGTCCTCCCAGGACGTCACGTTTGACGAGTCGGTCCCCTACTACCGCCTCTTCCCCTACCGCACTCCGTCCCTCCCCCCACCCCCACTCTTCCTGGTACCAGGTCCCCCCCAGGTAGACCCCCTCCCCCCTCAGGGTCCTGCCCCTTCATGTGTGTCCCAGGTAGACGCAGTCAAGCCTGTCGAGGTCACTGGTGACTCTTGTGCCGCTGAGGGTGCTGAGGCTGGGGGTGCTGTACCTGGGGGTGCTGAGCCTAGGGGTGCTAGGCCTGGGGGTGCTACGTCTGGGGGTGCTGAGCCTGGGGGTGCTGAGCCTAGGGGTGCTACGTCTGGGGGTGCTGAGCCTGGGGGTGCTACGCCTGGGGGTGTTGGGCCTAGGGGTGCTACGCCTGGGGGTGCTGCACCTGGAGGTGCTCCGCCTGGAGGTTCTCCGAGTGCTTCGTCTCGCCGGGAGCCACTCTCTCCAAAGGAGCTGCGTGAGTGGTTTGCCCGGCGCTAGAAGCGTGCTGCTGGTGCTGGAGGTCCTTCGGCTGCTGAGGGTGCTGCTGTCGCGGGTCCCGGAGGTGCTCGTCCTGGGAGCACTGGAGCTGCTGGACCTGCGGGGTCGACTGGAGCTGGTGCTGCTAAGGGTGTTGGCGCTGAGACTACCGCTGGCAGTCCTGCTGGGGGTGCTCCTGGTGCTGCTGGAGGTTCTGGAGCTAATGGTGGTATTGCTGGAGCGGGTGCTCCTGCTGAGGGTTCTGGAGCTGTCCCTCCTGCTTCTAGCGTCGCCACGCGGCCTCGACCGTACTTCGTTCCACTCCTGCAGCAGGTTCTTGGCACGGACGTCCTTGAGGACAAGCAGGAGGAGTTCCAGTGTCTGGGAGCTGCTTCACCTCATCTCGTGTCCGTACTGCTTACTCCTGAGGGAGACCCGGATGCACTTGACATCCCGACTCCGCGCTCTTACGCGAAGGCGATAGAGGGTCCCTACTCCTCTCAGTGGCAGGCACCTATGGATGCAGAGATGGCTTCCTGGAAGTCCACAGGCACCTACGTTGACGCTGTCCCCCCTCCTGGGGCGAACATCGTCAGTGGCATGTGGATCTTCAGGGTGAAGCGGCCGCCGGGTTCTCCGCCTGTCTTCAAGGCGCGTTACGTGGCTCGTGGCTTCAGTCAGCGGCAGGGAGTTGACTACTTTCAGACCTTCTCCCCCACCCCAAAGATGACCACTCTTCGGGTACTGCTGCACGTTGCTGCTCACCGTGACTACGAGCTGCACTCTCTTGACTTCAGCACAGCTTTCTTGCAGGGCAGCCTGCACGAGGAGATCTGGCTGCGTCGCCCACCTGGCTTCACTGGGTCTTTCCCTCCTGGTACCCAGTGGAGTCTCCGGCGTCCAGTCTACGGTCTCCGCCAGGCGCCACGTGAGTGGCACGACACACTGAGGACTACGCTTGCGGCTCTTGGGTTTGCTCCTTCTACTGCCGACCCGTCGCTGTTTCTGCGCACCGACACCTCTCTGCCGCCGTTCTACATCCTCGTGTACGTCGACGACTTGGTCTTTGCCACAGCTGACACTGCTGGACTCGCCTACGTGAAGTCCGAACTGCAGAAGAGACACACGTGCACAGACCTGGGTGAACTGCGCAGCTACCTTGGCTTGCAGATCACCCGGGACAGAGCACGCCGCACCATTACCCTGACTCAGTCACACATGGTGCAGCAGGTCCTTCAGCGCTTCGGCTTCACGTACTCCTCGCCTCAGGCCACTCCTATGTCTACTCGCCACTCGCTCTCAGCTCTGCCTTCGGATGAGTCCGTAGAGTCGAGTGGCCCGTACCCAGAGCTTGTTGGCTGCCTCATGTACCTGATGACCTGCACACGACCTGACCTTGCATACCCTCTTAGCATTCTCGCACGCTATGTTGCTCCTGGGAGACACCGACCAGAGCACATGGCTGCAGCGAAGAGGGTGTTGCGCTACCTGTGCAGTACGTCGGGCATGGGGCTAGTGCTTGGAGGGCGGAGTCCAGTGGTCCTCACTGGGCACGCGGACGCTTCTTGGGCTGACGACCAGGCTACGCAGCGGTCGTCACAGAGTTACACCTTCAGCCTTGGTTACGGCTCGGTTTCCTGGCGGGCTACTCGCTCGTCTTCTGTTCTTGGCTCCAGTTGTGAGGCTGAGATCTACGCCGGGGCCATGGCTGCTCAGGAGCTTCGCTGGCTCACCTACCTGCTGAGCGACCTTGGAGAGCCGCCTCGTTCTCCTCCAGTGCTGTACGTAGACAACAAGGCCATGCTGGCCTTGTGTTGAGAGCAGCAACTAGAGCACAGAACAAAGCACATTGCTCTCCGCTACTTCCTTGCTCGTGAGCTACAGCAGCGTGGACAGTTGCGGCTTGCGTACGTGGCCTCTGAGGCCAACACTGCTGATGTCTTCACCAAGGCACTTCCGCCTTGTGATCATCAGCGCTTCTGCACTCAGCTGGGTCTTGTGCCCGTCTTGCCTCACTTGCTCTCCTCTTGACCTTGCTTGTACTCTCACATATATATATACCTGCTCTTGCTTGTCTAGCTTTATATATATGTGTGTACTCTTGCATGTGAACTGGCCGTGTGGCCTTGACCCTGTGCTCGGACTGTGTGGTGACTTTGTGATCCACCCAGAGCTTGCTTTGCTTTGCTTTACTTGACTGGTCTTGTGACCCCTTGTTCTCCCCCACTTTGCCTATGGGGGTGTGTCAGAATGCTATATAGCTTATACATTTGTGTAGGCTATAGTGGGGTATCCCATAGGGGGTACAACCCAATTAGGGTTAGTACTTGTACTCACTCATTTCATAGTTGATTCATTCTCGTTTCAATTCTCACATGGTATGGAGCAGGTTCCCTCGTGGGAACTGTTCATAAGGTCCTACTACTGCTTCCGCTGCTACTCGATCTGTCGCACGCGGCGCGGCGTGAGACCGATTTTCTTTCTGGCGCGCGCCCCGAGGCGGGCGACCCCGCCTCTTTCGTCGCGGCCCCGCCCTACGTCGCGGCCCCGCCCTACGTCGCGGCCCCGCCCTACATCACGGCCCCACCCCTTGTCGCAGCCCCGCCCTACGTCGCGGCCCCGCCCTACGTCGCGGCCCCGCCCCTCGTCGCGGCCCCGCCACCTCTCGTCGCGGCCCCGCCATCTCTCGTCGCGGCCCCGCCACTCTCGTCGCGGCCCCGCCCTTCATTGCGGCCCCTGCCGCCCTTCGTCGCGGCCCCTGCCGCCATTCTCCACCGCGGCCCTGCCACCTCCCTTGCGGCCCCGCAGCCCTGCACCGACCCGGCCCCGCCTCTGCTGGCCCCGTCCCATGACCCTGCGCCCCTGCGATCCTGCTCCACCCGGACCCGGTCATGGACGTCGCTCGTACGTCTATGATGCATGCGGCTGCCCCCCATTTTCTGTGGCCGTTTGCGGTCAGGTACGCGGTGCATCAGATCAACCTTCACCCCAGGGTCTCCAGGCCGGAGACCTCCCCAGCCTTGCT